CCCCCCGCCACCGCCGTCAGCCCCAAAGCCCGCAGGTGTCGCTCCGCTCCCTGCCCCGCCGCCACCTGGGGGCGCTCTGCGTCACCATAGAGGCCGACAGGAAGTGCCCTCCATCCCCCATTTCCCCTTCCTTACCGGAAATGGGGAAACAGGAAGTGGAGAGCACAAAGATGGATTCCTTCCCTTTCCCCCCTGCACAAAGATGGGTTCCCTGCCCCGTGCCCCCCCCCCCCCCCCCCTCCCATTCCCTCCCAAAACAGAAACGTGACCCACGGAAAATGGGTTCCCCACAGAAATGGTTCCCCCAAAAGTGGGTCCTCCAGAAAATTGGTCCCCCATTCCAGGAAGTGGGTCTCCCAGCAGTGGGTACCCCTTCCCACCGGAAGGAGGGAAACAGGAAGTGAAGCGCAAAAAGATGGAGTCCTCCCCCTTCCCACACACACAGAAACGTGACCCACTGAAAATGGGTTCCCCATAGAAATGGTTCCCCCAGAAGTTGGTCCTCCAGAAAATTGTTCCCCCCGGAAGTGGGTTTCCCAGCAGTGGGTTCCCTTTCCCACCAGAAGTAGAGAAACAGGAAGGGGAGCGCACAATGATGGACTCCTTCCAGTCCTCCTCCCTCCCCCGGAAACATGACCCATGGAAAATGGGTTCCTCATAGAAATGGTTCCCTTGGAGTTGGGTCCCCCAAAAGAAAACTGGGCCCCCTGGAAGTTGGGCCCCCAAAAGTAAATTGGTCCCCCTAGAAATGGTTCCATCAGAATTGGGTCCTTACAGAACAAAATTGGTTCCCCCGGAAGTGAGTGTCCCACAAGTTGGTCCCCCCAGAAAACTGGTCCCCCTCGAACAAGGTTCCCCCCAGAAATGGTTGCCCCGGAAGTGGGTCCACAGAAATGTCTCCCCTACAAAAACGGTTCTGCCCTCCCCCCCCAGAAATGGGTCCCAGGAAATGTGGGTACGCCCGGTGCCCCCCCCGTCACCCCCCTCACCTCCTCCATCCGCTGCTGCTGTGCCTCCACCGCCTCCCACAGCAGCGCCCTCAGCACTTCCGGCTGAAACAGGAAGTCCCACCCACGTGGGGCAGGAAGTCACAATTCGAGGGGAGGCTGCAAGTCCCACCGCTTTCCCGTTCCCACCGCAGGAAAAAAGGAAGTCCCATCCACCAGGCCAACAAAAACAGGAAGTCCCACCTTCACCCCACTCCCAACACAGGAAGTCCCTCATCTGACAGAAAGACAGACAGGAAGTCCCATCTCCACACCTCCCCATCACAGGAAGTCCCTCCCGTAAGAGAAACACAGACAGGAAGTCCCACCTCCACCCCACTCCCAAAACAGGAAGTCCCATTACCACCCCCATCCCAAAAGTTAGTCTGTCCCCCAACAGACAGGAAGTTCCACCCCCAACCCTCTCCCAAAACAGGAAGTCCCTCCCCTTAAAGAAATACAGACAGGAAGTCCCACCCCCAACCCACTCCCAAAACAGGAAGTCCCATTTCCACCCCTCCCCCAGCACGGGAAGTCTTTCTCTTGCTCTGCCACCCATACAGGAAGTCCCACCCCCCACCGGAAGTCCCGCCCACCTTTGCCGTGGGTTCCTGCAGAGCTTTGGCCAACGCTCGGCACCGCGGCCCCGGGGGCAGCACCAGGGCGGGGTGGGGGAGGGGGCGGGGCTGAAGGGGCGGGGCTTCCGCACAGGCGCTGATGGAGCCGTGCAACCTGAAATGGGGTCCCCCCCACCCCAGTTATACCGGAAGTGCCACCGGAAATGGGTCCCCCTCAGAACTGACAGCCCCCACTATTCGGTTCCTGTCACGGCTGGTTCCCCTCTCCCCCCAGCACACGTCATCGTGGGTCCGGCTCTATACGGGGTCCCCCACTGTTGTGGGGTCTCACACCAATTGGGTCCCCCCATAACTAAGATCCTTGCACACGGGTTCCACTGCTTAATGAGTCTGCACCCTATTTCCCCTTCCACCCCATGAAACCACCCCAACCATTGGATCCCTCCATATTTATCACATGACCCCCAGATTGGTCACGTGACCCACCTGTAGAAGGCCACCTCTCCCACCCCATGAAACCACCCCAACCATTGGATCCCTCCATATTTATCACATGACCCCCAGATTGGTCACGTGACCCACCTGTAGAAGGCCACCTGCAGCTCCCCCTGCACCCTATTTCCTCTCCCACCCCTTGGAACCACCCCAACCATTGGACCCCTCTCTAATTGTCACATGACCCCCCCC